TTATACTTAAAAATGAAATATAATGGTATTCCTATTAAAATCAGATAATAAACATGACTACCACTATTTAATATTCTACTAGAGGTGACATATAAGCAGCTAATGCGTGAAAATGAAATAAAAGGTATACTTATTCATTAAATCCCCAAAGAATGAAAGAACAACTCATTAGAACTCTCAAGAGGGCGTGGCAATGTCCAGATTCAAACTCTAGATACATGAATCATTAGGTTTCCTAAACACAAGTGATCAATGATTAGAGAGTATAATAGGGAAAAAGAGCCCATTCAAAATAGCAATAAAACTGTCAAATACCTATGGGTGGGGGACTTCATTAGAATGTGTGATTTAAATGAAGAAAAGTTACATTACTTTGATAAAGGACATAAAATACCAAATAAATAGGGGATACTCCATGTTTCTGACTTGGAAAACATATTGTAGAGATGCTGACTCTCCTCACATTAAACTATTAATTCAATGCAACACCATTCAAAATCCCAATGTAAGCTTTTATTTAGGCAACAAACTTATTCTATGGTTTGTCTGGAATTATGAATCTACTTAAATGGCCATGAACATTGTGAACTGTAAGATTAATGAATGATGACTTGCTAGCAAAACTTAAAATTATGCTACTAAATGGTGTGGGTCTCATGCAGGAATAAAAAGATCAACAGAGTGGAACAGACCTGTATCAAAATTTTATATTAGATAAAGTAGCATGTCAAGCAATCATGGAAAGGAAAGGACAAACTATTCAATAAATGGATGTGAGACAACTAACTAGTCATTTTGAGAAAAAGAGGTAGACTTTGATTTCCTGTCTGCGCTGATGTCTTTGGCTTGTTTCTCCAGATACCTTCGCCATCCTTCAGCGCCCTGGTCTTTGCCTGAGAGGGGAATCTATATGGTCTATATTAATATCACTGGGCTTCATCATCCTGGGAATTGGGGCCAGGCCAAAGGGAGAACTGGCAGGAAATCAAAGGGAAGGTGTAGGATAAGAGTCTCTATAACCTCAAGATAGTTGCTTCCCTTAACCAAGCGTCTCAGCTCCTGAGATGCGATGGTCTCCTCTGCTCCGTCCTCTCTTTCCCCACCTCATGCTCTTCAGTGAAATCTCCTCTCCCTGTTTTCATGGTCACACCATTGTAAATAGACCCTTTGTTAAACTGACCCTTTGGTAATCTCATTTTCAGCTTATCCTCTATTTTCTATTGAGACTTATTTGAAGCATATCATTCACAAAGTTAAGACAGAAATTTATTTTTAAATGTATAAAAATATTAAACCTATGGGAATACATTTATAATCTTGGACATAGGAAGACTCTTTTAAAAATAGATACAAACCAATCTTCATAAAGGAAAGTGTGGATACATGTGATTGAAATCATAATTTCAATTTTCCAGATGATTAGATACCTATAACCAAAGTTAAGAGAAAGGTGGAAAGAAATATTTAAAATGTATAACAAAGTATTATTTCATGGAATATCTATAGAGAGAGATATAGATCAATTTTAAATGCTATATATAAACTATTTTTTGCACATAAAAATATTTTTATATAATTATATATTTAACTACTTTAAAATCAATTTTAAAAAGATACATCACTAGGGAAACAGACAAGAATATGAATAGGCCCTTCACAGAAGAGGAAACAGAAATGGAATATACATGAAAAGATTCTTAATATCACTATTAATCAGGAAAATGCAAATTGTAAGAGATACCATTTTTAACTATCAAATGGGCAGAAAGATTGATAATATCAAGAGTTATTGGGTGAGTGATGAAATAGGCTCTCTTGTTCATAGTCAGGGAAAATGTTTAAGTTGGCAAATGTTTAGGAGGAAAATCTGGCAATGTCTATTAAAATTATAAATGAGTATCCCTTATGATCCCATTTCTTGGCATCAAACAGAGATAAAAACTTGCATATTTGCCCAAAGAAGCATATACAAGGGGATGCTCATCATAATGTTATTTGTAATGGTAAAAAACTGTGAACAATCTAAATGTCTTCCATCAACTATGGAATAATTAGCACATTCCCATTATAGAATGTATGCAACTGTTTTTAAAAAGAGGTTGATCTATATGTCCTGACCTGGAAATCTCCCTAACATATTTTATTTAGTGAAAACCCATTCAAGTTCAGTATATCACATAGACCATGATACTGTTTGTGTAAATTTAAATTCCCACAAAAATGAAACTATGTTCTTTTATGCTTACTTGTATGCATATAAAATACAGATAAATCTAAAGAATAAACACCAAATTGATCTCTTTGCTACCATTGTGTAGGAAATGCTGAGATTTATTGGAGGCCATGTCAGGGATTTTTTTCACTTTTTCTACATTCTGTATTTCACTATTTTCTACATTGTTTGAAATTTTACAATGTGAATATATTTACATCTTACCTATAAAATTATTATTTCTTTAGTGAATAGTTAAAACTTGTATTTAATTCCTTCAAAAGAAACAAAAGAAAGGAAGAACAGGGAGTTTTAGAGTTACATGGATGTGTGACTTCAAGAAACTTGTCTAATTATCTGGGACCTGACCCTTCCTTTGTAAAATGGGGTAGTTGTTGTGAAGATTAATTTAGATAAAGCCTGTGAGAGGTACAGCTGAGTTCCTGGTACACAGAAAGTACTGGGTGACTCTTTCTCTCTTCTCCATTTGGCCCATGAGAACCTCAAGGGTCAAGAACACGCCTCACTTGCCTGTGTATCCTGGATGCCTGTGCAGACAGAGGCTCAGTTACATTTGCTGAAAGAATAAGTGAATACACAGGCCACATTGGTTAACTGTTAATAAATAAACATATGTTCACATGTGTTCATTGTGATGCCGTTCCACCAGGGAGATCAAATGCTTCTGCATTGTGAGAATGAGAAGTCAAAGAAAATCAGAGAACTAGGCCAGAGAGAGAAAAGTTTTGAAGTGGGAAGACTCATCACATAGGTCTGATGTTTTCCAACTTTCTCTTTAGAGCCCCAGGCTCCACAGAGTGATAGGGCCACCATGGGTACGAGAAAGCCAAACTGAGATGCCATCTTCAGACTGAGAGATTGGATATAGTCTTGGACAATGGCCAGGCCATATGCGACAATAGATATCTGACCTCAACCTTTGCAGCAAATGACCAGGGAGGCCAAGCCACAACCTCGGAAGCTATCAGCCCCGAACGTGTAGGATTTGGTCAATGACAGCCAACTTCTCTAATTTTTGCCCCCACTGCCTCCTTTATTTTTTAACTCAGGACCAACCAAAGAAAGCCAAACACACTCTCCAAACCAGCTGCATAAAGTGCTTCACTTTTAGCCGCCTTCCAGCTTCCCCACGCCAACCACCTCCGATCAGATCAGAACGTACCTGCAGTCTTCCCTCTTTTTCACTATAAAGCTTTCCCGCTCCTCTGCCTGCCTTTGAGTCTCAGCCAAATGCTAGCGATGGCAGCTGACTCCCTTGATATATAGCAAGCTCTGAATAAACAGTCTCTGCTTGTTCTCCTTTCAGTGTTTTTGTTTATTCCCACAAGATCTTCTCCCACATTTCAACTAGATACGAGATGCATGTTATATATTGGGTTTCTATATAATATTTCATCTAAAAAATTCTACTGCTAAATTTTTAAAACAAATCTCCAATGTGAATTAATGCCAAGAGCTAAAGTTCTCAAGGAGCCTGAACTAAAAAAGAAACAAATGAGGCCCAGAAAGATAGAAGCAAAAGACGGGGCTGAGTCTGGATTGGGGACAGAAGCTTCCTGAGATTTCTGTGGGCTTTTTCCCATGTCAGGCACAGCTGAGTCCAGAAACTGTGGGTAATGGAGTGCATAGGTAAAATGCTTCCTTATCAGCCTCTCCTCAGGGCTGGGCTGAAGTTAACTACAGTTGTAAGCCTGTTGAAATGTCCACCTGCCAGAGGTACAGACAAGTGAACCAAAAGCATGAATAAGGCCTTGGGTGACTGAAAGAAGACGAAGGTGGTTGGGAAGGTCCCAGTCCCTACTTCCATGGGAAAATGACTTGTCAGACACTGGAATTGGAGCCCTGCTCACCTAACCAGGACTATTTGCCAGTCTGAAATCCTAAAATTCTCACCATCACTCTATACAGTCTATAATCTATTTAAAATTCGTTCCTATGTTTCCCAGACTGGTGAATGTCAACAGATGTCTCAGTAGAAAAAGAACTTTGCAGTCAAATAAGTTTGGGAAATGCTGGGTGAAACCAAGGTAAACATTCATATTAGTAGGAGTTTACAAAACCTTCAATATGCTGACATATGTTGCAAATCTGCAAGAAGAGGATACAGTGTACAGCATTTTCCAAACTTGTTTAACCATGAGGTTGATTTCCTGCCCACCTATTTATAGCTATCTCCCTGAACACCATTCTATGACATACAATTTTGGAGACACAGTTTTGCTACCTTTCAAAGGAAAACTATTAGCTGGTTAACACCTCATATGATCTGCTGTAACTCACCAAAAGGAAAATCAGGAGACCCCGTAGGGAATGGCACAGGAGGGTAATTTTGATGGGAGGAGGAAAAAGATAGGGTCATAAAGCAGAGCCGGAGGCTAGTGGAGGTTACAGCTGGGTCTCAGGTCAGCCTGGCACAGGTTAAAGATATTAGGTATCAAATTCCAGATGGAGAAAGTCAAAGATTATCCTCACTTGCTCTGTAATCTTTCTCAATCAGCCATAATATCATTATCTCTGGGGAGATAGAGAGTGGCCAGGAGAATCACTGTATTAGATGAAAATCAAGATTCAGGCAAATGACTTTTATAGCAATTTGCCAATAAAGGCCTACAGTCCCATTTCCAAGTTGAGATAACTGAGGGCAGACAAATTATGCAGTTTGCCTGGTACCCCAGCAAAACCACTTTTCTTTCTGCAGCACCATGAAGTCTTTGACGGACCGCAGGGAAGGGAAGCAAAGCGTTAAAAGAATTTCATGCTCACTTACTTCAGAATGACACAGCCCGTTCCTGCGGGCGGCGCTACCCAGAACACTTGGATACGGGTCCTCCTCCGAGGGGTGCTTTCCGTGACCGCGACAGGGCAGTTACTCATAAACTGTGTTTCTTCTTCATCTATGATCTATGGCAAACCAGAGACACATAAACACATTAAAATGTGCTTCACTTAGGAAAGGCTCTTAAGTTTCCGAGTTGACACTTCCTTAATTTTATTTTTAAACCTGTCATTTTGTGTTAGTGGCTCTAGATCTCCAGACACCAGAATAGTGCCTGGGATAGAGTCCCAGCCAATGGTTGTTGAATTAACACGATGGCAAGGGCTTGGCATATGTTCTGCGCCCTCGGACCAGGATCCTGGGTCAGCACTTTGAGGAACAGACCACTAGGTGATGATCTTGCTCATTTCACTAAGACAGGTATGTCCCACTTCAGGAGAGGAAGAGGAGAATGGGATACGAAATCCAAAGCGAACACTCTGTATACCATAGCTAGACTCAGCTACAATTTTATAGCTTGAAATTAAAATGTTAGAAGAAAACACCCCTTTGGAGAAGTATCTCAAAGTACGTAACGTTCCCCGGTTTCACAGCACAGCTTACTCGTGCAATCTCTACTTTCTTAATTTGTGCAGTCTATTACTGTTCTCCCACGTTAGCCATCAAGGTTTCCTATGACACTGCAAAAAAAGCTGGTAGCCATCCCCCAAGGCTGCTTTTAGCATTTCTGCTGCTTGCTTCTGGGTCTGCTGCCAGTACTTGCCTATCCATCTATTAGAACCATAGACTATGGATCTTTGGGGGAATCATCGAAATCCAATTGGTCTTAAGTGCCAACTCCAGTTGATAGGTAGTAGCTATGTCATGAGTACTGTTAATAACATTTATGGAGTGTTTAGTATGTGCCAAGCACTAAACTAAGTGCTTATTTGAATTACTCATTTAATCTTCAAATATAACCTAATGTGAGAGATCATTATACCCATATTTATTTTATTTTATTTTATTTTATTTTACTTTATTTTATAATTCCTCTTCTTTTTTAAGCACAGCAGGTAAAAAAAATTAAGTCTCTCAAACTTGTTAGTTCATCATATATTTTCATCACTGGACAAAGCACAGGCAATCATCTATTACATTTTGTTTAGCTCTGTATTCCTTATCCTAGTCTCATTTCCCTCCTCTAGCACTTACTCCTAAATATTTAATATATGCTCTTCTGAGTGTGTGTGTGTGTATCACTTAGTTGAAGTTATATAGAACTGTTTTGTATTTTAATGTTTCTTTCACCTAATCTTATGGTTTTGGGATATGTCAGTGTGACTATGTGTGAATGTAATTCATTGACTCTGTTGCCTAGTATGCACTGCACGCATAGACAACATGCTATCTATCTACCCTCCCCGTGAGGAGCACTTAGCTGACTTCTAGCTCTTTGCCTCCAGAAACACTGCTGCAATGAAGATTCTCGTGCTGCTCTCCTTGTGAACACACATGAGAGTTTCCTCAGCAATATAAACCATGTAGTGGGATCGCTGGGTTATTAGGTTGTGGGTATAATCATATTAATTTCACTAATTACTGCCAGACCGTTCTGCAGAATGGTGATGCCTACTTTTATTCTATTAGCTTTGTATGAGTGTTTCCATTTTCCCACATTCTCACCAGTACTGTGATTGTTGGACTTTCTAATTTTTCTAATAGTTTCCAATTTGGTGCATGTAAATTAGTATCCTGTTTTTTTAAGATTTTATTTATTTATATTTAGAGAGGGGAAGGAAGGAAGAAAGAGAGGGAGAAGGAGAGAAACACCAATGTGTGGTTGCCTCTCGCGCACCCCCTGCTTGGGACCTGGCCTGCAACCCAGGCATGTGTCCTGAGTGGGAAATGAACCAGCGACCCTTTGGTTCACAAGTCAGCACTCAATCCACTGAGCCACACCGGCCAAGGCAGTATCTTGTTAACTAGCAGATGGGAGCATCTCTTCACAAATTTATCAGATTTTCTTCTGTGAACTGCCTCCTTAGAATCTCTACTGGTGGATTTTTCTGCCTTTTTCTTGCTGATTTGTAAGACTTTTGATAAGAATCTATCATTTACAAGTATCTTTCTGTTCCTCGGAGGTTTGTCTTATCTTTAGAATTCTTCATTTAACAGAGCTCAGTTAATTTTCATGTAGCCAAATTCATCAATTTCTCTCCTACGGTTTGCACTTTTTTCATTTTGTCTAAAAACTGCGATCACAGAGGGATTCTCTAATATTTTTTTTTCCATTAGCTTTATAATTTTACCTTTCACACTTAAGTCTTCAATCCTTTTGGAATTTATTTTTTTAATGTGACAAAGCAGAGATCGAACTCCATTTTCTCCATACTGTAAGCTACTTTAAAAAATGTATAAATTTTTTAAAAGAGCAGTTTTAAGTTTACAGCAAATTTGAGCAGAAATTACAGTTCGCACATTCCTGTCCCCACACATGCACTTCCTACATTATCAATACCGAGCACCAGAGTGGTATATTTGTTACAGCAGGTGAACCTACATTGACATGTCCTTGCCAATCAAAGCTCATAGTTTATTTTAGGCTTCACTCTAGGTGTTGTACATTCTAATGATTTTGACAAATGTATAATGACATGTATCTATCATTACGGCATTGTGCCTTGTTGTATTGTACTGAATATCACTGCCTTAAAAATCCTCTGGGCTCTACCTATTCATCTCTACTTCCCTCCACTACCCCAAAACTTGGCAACTATTAATCTTTTAGTAGAATCACTTACTAGTTACAGGAGGGTTTTTTATTTTATGTTTTTACCAATTTTTCCAGATTTCCCTACATATTTCATATCATTTATAAGCAAAGACAGTTTTATTTCTTCCTTCCCAAACTATATTCCTTTTATTTTCTTTTGTCTTATTGGATTAGTTAGGACTTCCAGTATGATGTTGACCTTAACAGGAAAGGTTCAAGTTTCTTAACAGTAAGTATGAAATTAGCTATAGGTTATTTCCTTGTAAATGTTCTTTATTAAGTTGAGGACATTCCTCTCTATTCCTGAGAGTTTTTAACATGAATGTATATTGGATTTTGTCAAATGCTCTTTCTGCATCTATTGATATGATGATGTGATTTTTTTTCTTTAGCCTATTGATGTGATAGATTACACTTATTGATTTTTAAATGTTGAAACAGCTTTGCATATTGGGATAAATCCCACTTGGTTGGGTTCTTCCCAACCAAGTTCTTCTTATATATTGTTGTATTCAATTAGCTAATATTTTCTTGAGAATTTTTACATCTATGTTTATGAGAGAATGGGTCTGTGGTTTTCTTACAATGTCTCTGTTTGGTTTTAGTATTAGGATGATGCTGGCTTCATAAAATGAATTAGGAAGTAGGAAATTGGTATAATTTCTTCCTTAAATATTTGATAAAATTCACTAGTGAACCCTGGTGTTTTCTGTTTTGTAAGGTTATTAATTGTTGATTCAATTTCTTTATTAAATATGGGCTTACTCAGATTGTTTATTTCTTCTTGTGTGAGTTTTAGCAGATTGTGTTTTTCAAGGAATTGAACAATTTCATCTAGGTTATCAAATATGTGGGCATAGAGTTGTTTATAATATTCTGTTTTATTTTTTTAATGTCCATGGAATTTGAAGTGATGTTTCTTCTTTCATTTCTGATATTAGTAATATGTGTCTTCTCTCTCTTTTTTTTTAGTTAGTTTGACTAGAAGCTTATGGGTTTTACTTTTTAAAGAACCAGCTTTTGGTTTTGTTGATTTTCTCTAATTGATATCTTATTTTCAATTTCATTGATTTCTGCTCTAAGTTTTATTACTTCTTTTCTTCTGCTTACTTTGAATGTAATTTTATTTTCTTTCTCTAGTTTCCTAAAGTGGAAGGAAACTTAGATTATTAATTTTAGATCTTTATTCTATTCTGGTATGTACATTCAATGATATAAATTTTCCTCTAAAAATTGCTTTTGCTGTAACCCACAAGTTTTGATAAGCTGTATTTTCATTTTCATTTAGTTCCATCTATTTTAAAATTTAGCTTGAAGTTTCTTCATTGACCTGTGTGATAGAAGTATGTTGTTAGTGTCTAAGTACATATCTGAAGATTTTCCAGCTATCTTTCTGTTACTGATTTCCAGTTTAATTTCATGGTGGTCTGAGAGCAGTTGTTGTATGCTTTCTATTCTTTTGAACTTAAGATTTGTGTTATGAACCAGAATGTGGTCTATGTTGTTGACTGTTCCATGTGAGCTTAAGAAGAATGTGTAATCTACTGTTGTTAGATGGAGTAATCTATAGATTTCAATTATATCCAGTTGACTGATGGTGTGGTTGAGTTCAAGCATGTCCTTACTGATATTTTGCCAGCTGGATCTGACCATTTCTAATAGGGGGTGTTGAAGTCTCCGGTTATAAAAGTGGATTCACCTATTTGTCCTTGCATTTCTATTAGTTTTCACTTCTCGTATTTTGATACACTGTTGCTCAGCACATACACATTAAGGGTTGTTGTGTCTTCTTCAAGTATTGAGTGCTTTTTCATTTTGTAATTCTCCTCTTTATCCCTGCTAAATTCCTTTGCCCTAAAGTCTGCTATGTCTGAAATTAATATAGCTATTCCTGTTTTCTTTTGATTAGTGTTAGCATTGTATATCTTTCTCCATCATTCTACTTTTAATCTATATGTGTCTTTATATTTAAAGTGAGTTTTTTGTAAGCAACACATAGTTGGGTAGTGTTTTTTAATTCACTCTGAAAATCTGAATCTTAACTGGTGTATTTAGAACATTGATATTTCAGGTGATTATTGATTATAGTTGGATTAATATTTGCCATATTTGTTATTATCTTCTATTACTTGTTCTTGTTCTTTCTTCCTATTTTTGCCTTCTACACATTTTCTGCTTTCTGTGATTTTATTTAAAATATATTTTATTGATTATGCTATCACAGTTGTCCCAGTTTTTTCCCCTTTGTCCCCCTCTATCTGGTAACCCCATTCCCTCCAGCAAGCCACCCTTTAGTTCACATCCATGGGTCATGCATATAAATTCTTCAGCTACTCCACTACCTATACTGTTCTTAACATCTCCCTATCT